GAAAACCCCCTGGAGTAGGACATGGCAACCCACTCCAGTAATCTTGTCTGGAAAATTCCATGGACAGAGGAGCCTGGTGGTTTAGTCCATGGGTTTGCAAAGAGTTGGACTCGACTGAGCATGCATGCAAACTTTGTTTTTCAAAACTAAACCCTGTCTCATTCTTTTGACTTGAATGACAACAGGTAGGGGGACCCTTGTTGGGGCCTGACTAGAAAAGTCAGTAACCCTGGAAACCACCATCCTACTTTCTGTCTATACAAATCTGACTACTCTAGGTGCTTCTTGGGAGTAGATCATACAGTATTTGTCTTTTTGTGTCTGGCTTCTTCTGCTTAGTTTAATGTCGTTGAAGTTTCATTCATGTTGTAGTGTGTGTCAGAATTTCATTTCTTTTTAAAGGTTAAATAATATTCCATGGTGTGAACAGAATACATTTTGTTTATCCATCCATTTCTTAATGGACACATGGGTTATTTCCACCTTATGGCTATCATGAATAAAACTGTTATGAACATCGGTGTACAAAAACCTGTTTGAGGCCCCAGGTTTCAGTTCTACCCAGAAGTAGAATTTCTGGATCATAATGCAATTCTATGTTTAATTATTTGAGGAACTATCATATTGTTCTGCACAGTGGCGGCACCATTTTACATTCACAGTAGCCATGCACAAGCGTTCCAGTTTCTTCACATCCTCATCAATACTTAGCGTTCTCTGTTGCTTGATAATAGCCATCTTCAGGGGTGTGAGGTGGTGTTTCACTGTGGTTTTGCTTTGCTTTCCCTAACAATCAGTAATGTTCAGCGTCTTTTCATGAGCTATTGCCCCTTTGTATATCTTCTTTGGAGAAACATCTATTTAAGTCTTTTATTCATTTTTAAGTGAAGTTTGTTGTTGTCATTGACTTGTAGGAGTTCTTTATATATTCTGAATTTTAATCTCATCAGCTACATGATTTGCAAATATTTCCTCATTTCATGGGTTTCCTTTTCACTCTGTTGATAGGTCCTTTAAAGCACACGAGTTTTAAATTTTAATGAAGTCCACTTCATCTGTTGTTTCTTTTGTTACTTGTATGTTTAGTGTCATTTTCAAGAAGTCATTGCTGCCAAATCCAATGTCATGAAGCTGTTGCCTTGTGTTTTCAGCCAACATGCCCTTGTGCTTACCACAGGAATGGGTTGCTATGGTGATAGGATCATGGAGTAGGGTTATTAAGGAGGCTGCAAAGTGGAGGAGCTTGTACACTGTCCAGGGCCGGAGCTGGCACACCCCTGCTCATGATACCAGGGGCCACCCTAAGGGCATGGAGTGTTTCAAGGTCATACCAAACTGGTCTCTGCTTTTATTGCCATTCTTGGGGAACCTGGAGTGCCCAAGACTGCTGTGGGGAGGCCGAGTCTGGGGGTGATTGCAAACAAACTACCAAGCAGCTGTAGTTCCTCTCCCAACATTGAGCAAGTCATCCTCAAATGGTTCAGAAATATATGGTGCTGAAACAGTTGAGTTTGAACCTTGGCTTCCCCTATAATGTGCTAGGTGATCTTGCGTGTCAGATTTCTTCTCATCTGTAAGTTGGGGCTAATAACATTCCCTTCTTTTAAGTTTACTGGAATGGTCAGAAGAGGCCAGTAAGGTATTTCACCACCTCCTGGCACATGATAAGTGATCAGTAGACCTGGCTTTTATGGTTGTGTTTGGGCTGCTCACTCAGCCTGCCCTCAACTGCAGGCCACCGACATGGCTAGGCGAGCCTATCCTTTCTGGTCCTCTGTTCTGTGCCTGCCCCACCCAGCCCTCTCCTTGGGTCTCTCCAGAGTGCTGAGTCACGCTGCTGGGTTCTGCCCTCCTCCAGCCGTACTCCTGGTATGACCCAACCTCTGGGGGTAGATGGGCGAGGGGGACGCAGGGCTCTGGAGCCTGACATCCCAAATTCCAAGCCTGGCACCATCTCTGAGCAAATGAGCGTGTCTCTGAGCCTTACTTTCCTCCCCTGTAAAGCAGGGAAGACTATGTTTATTTCTCAAAATCAACACAAGATAGAGTAGGTGGGGGTCAACAGGAATCAATACAAGGCAGGGGACAACTCCACTGTGTGATGAGCACTGGTCCTGTTGCTCTGAGAACACGGAGAAGGCACCTGAACCCTGCTGGGGTGGGGGTGGGGGGGGCGGGGAGAGGCCTAGGGAAGGCCTCCTGGACGAGGGCTCCGGGGGCCTTGAGGGTGCACGGAGCAAGACTGGGGAGGGATGGACTTCCCTGGTGGTCCAGTGGTTAAGACTGTGCTGCCAATGCAGGCAGCGTGGGTTTGATCCCTGGTCAGAGAACTAAGATCCTGCATGCTGCATGGTGTGGCCAAAAATTAAAAAAAAGATTGGGGAGGAAGTCCAGGTTGAGCAAAGGCAGGGAGTTAGGACAGAGCTTGATGAATTGATGAGTTCAGGTTGCTGGGGTGGGGGAGATGCAGTCAAGGCCCAGTGTGGTCAAGTCCCAGAGGGCCTGGTCAGCCACCATGGAGAATGACCCCTCCTGGGGGGAACGGGCTTATGCAGGGAAACATGCGATCAGATTTTCATTTCAGATATTTTCCTGGCTGCCCTGTGGAGTGTGGACGGAAGAGGGCAGGAAGAGGCATAAAGAAATCCATGGGCTCCTTTCTAAACATCCAAGCCAGAGATGACAGAGGCCCAGACTAGGGCAGTGGCCGTGGTGCTGGGGGTGGAGTCCAGACGTATGTAGTGAGCAAGCCAGCAAGCTGAGAACCAGGATATGAACCCCAGTTGAACCCCCTCTTTCTGCCTCTGTAGACGGCCCCAAATAGCCTGGGGTCTGGTAAGCTTGGCTTCTTGGGTCTCAAAGGCGCTGCATTCCTGAGCGGTGTGCCGAGGGACCCAGTTCCTGCTTCCTCGGGGACAGAGGCCCTGCTGGCCCAACACCGCCCTCCGATGGCCGAAGGCGAGGTCGCCATGGTCACCACATCACTCGCGCGGCCCAGGCCTGTCGCAGCCGCCTGCTCTCTGAAGCCTCCTGATGCAAAGCCCACCCACTAAGTCTGCTCAGCAAGCTCCATGCTGTCTGCACAGATGGCCCTGGGTTCACATCTCATCTCCTCTTCTTTTAAAAAAAAACACATTATTAAAAATTAAAAAAAAATTATTTCTGGCTGCACCGGGCCTTCAGTGCTGCGTGCAGGCTTTCTCTCTAGTTGCAGCGAGTGGTGCTTCTCTTGTTGTAGAACAAGGGCTGTAGGGCGTGGGGGCTTCGGTAGTCGCAGCTTGCAGACTCTAGAGCTCGGGCTCAGTAGTTGTGGTGCAGAGGCTTCGTTTGCTCCACAGCACGTGGAATCTTCCTGGACCAGGCATCAAGCCCGTGTCCCCTGCACCGGCAGGTGGGGTTCTTAACCTCTGGGCTACCAGGGAAGTCCCCTCCTCCTCTTCATGTTGTTCGTAGACCTGACAAGTCCCTTCCCGCCCTGGTCCTCACTCTCCTCAGCTTCTGAAGGTGAAGCTTCAGCCCAGGCCTGGCGCCCAGTCGTGGGAGTGGAGCTGGAGTGGGGTCACGTCCCACTGAGAGGCGCAAATGCCCGAGCAGCTTTGTCCAGACCCTGGGCATCTCCACCCCCACCCCCAGGAAGCCAGCTGTTCACTCAGTCCCGCTGTGTGCCCCCTGCCCCAGGCTGGCACTCCCTGGCAGAGTCCCACCTGCCCACATGGACCCTCCTTTCCCCTGAGAGGCAGGGCAGGGCCACTGCTGGGAGCTGACCAGGGTTCTGGCTCCACCTCTGCCATTGGACATGGAGCTCTTGGCCAAGGCCCGCCCCCTCATCAAGTCTTGGTTATTGGACCCGTAAAATGGGCTATAATTCCTGGGTGCTTCAGGGTCACATATAAAGGGTCTGTGCAGACTGTGGAGTGCTGTGCCATGGAGCGCTGGTGAAGCTGTGACTGTCTCAGAGGTGTTCCCTTCAGCCTGGGCTTTTGGAAGGTGAGCTGGACAGCGGTGGAGATCTGAGGGGCACGAGAGCCTTTCCAACTACATTAAAAAAAACCTTGTAGGCCCCTCGCCTGTATCCCTCCCCCGGCCCCCTGGAAGGTCATGCGGCTTTGCAGCCAGGAGGAGGGCTGGGACGGGCAGGCCCCGGCTCCATTCCCCCGGACAGGTGAGGCCTGGGGATTTCCAACTCCCTCCTTTTGAGTAAGAGTTCTGATCTGTGGCCTCCTGCCAAGATTTTGCCATTCTTTCCTGACAAACAACAGGGCTGTTTTGTAACCTGCCTTAAAAAATCGTCTTGCTTTGTTAATAACTACCAGATGTGTACACACAGTTGTTTACAAAGAAATGACAAACATCAGACAGCCATCAGCAGCGTCGCCCAAGAGCCCTTCTGGCCTCAAACACCCCACAGCCGCCCTCACCCCATTCCTCCGTCTGGAAGTCACCTGATCACCCCCCCCACCCCCGCCACGTCTCTCAGTTGTGCCTTAAAAAATCGTCTTGCTTTGTTAATAACTACCAGATGTGTACACACAGTTGTTTACAAAGAAATGACAAACATCAGACAGCCATCAGCAGCGTCGCCCAAGAGCCCTTCTGGCCTCAAACACCCCACAGCCGCCCTCACCCCATTCCTCCTTCTGGAAGTCACCTGATCACCCCCCCCACCCCCGCCACGTCTCTCAGTTGTGCCTTCAAGGGTCCCCTAGAATTTGGCTCCTGCCCCTCTAAGCCCACGTGATGGCGCCCTCCCACTTGATAATCATAGGAGTCACTTCTGCCTCCCTCACTGTAGGCGGGCTTCCCATTAGCAGAGTCAAATCAGTCCAGTGTCCCCAGGATCCCCAGGACCTGCAGTGCCAGGCACCGGGCGCTCAGTAAACATTGATGAATGAGTGAACGAACAAGAAAACAAGCTTCGGGTAAACCAGCCCCTCTCTGGGCTACTTCCTTTTTTAAAAATTTGTTAGTTAAAAGAATTTTTTCCTTTTTTGGCTGCACTGCAGAGCATGCAGGACCTTAGTTCCCCGACCAGTGATTAAACCCGGGCCTTTGGCTGAGAGCGTGGTGTCTTAACCACTGGGAATCCCTCCCCATCCTGCCCCCCACCTTTTATTTTTAAAGTGTTAAGACACAGGGATGGAGGTTGCTGGAGACACGCTCCTTCTCTAGCTCCTGAAGCGCCCCCTCCAGGTAAGGAGATTCTGTCCTCACTTCTGCATCGACTGCTGCCCTCGTGGCTGAACACAAGATGCTCTCGGCCAGCTCTGGGATTCAGAGTCACCGTGACAGCATCTGACCCCCATGTCACAGCCATGTCTGTGTAAATTCTTTGCAGTCAGAGCCTCGGAAAACCTCTGTGCTTGGGACAGAGCAGTCTTTGCTGCCTGCAAGCAAACCACGCGAGGCAGTGCTGAGGGTTAGGCCGTCGGCTCTGGGTGGTTAGAAAGGCCAGGGTCAGTGTTCATATCCACAAAGCCCTTGTTTCTTGGCAAGGGACGTGAAGGTGGCAGGAGGGTCCTGGGAGTCTCCATCATGACAGCTGGGCCCAGTGAAGCCTGGCATAGGGCCCCCTTGCTCCCGTTGGCCGTGCCCCCCACAGCCTGCCATGGGTGGTGGGAACATGGCCCTGGGAAGCCAGGACCCCGAGGGCTCTCGATGTCCCTTCAACTGAGAGGCTGCACAGAGGGTGACCTGTGCAACTGGGGTGATGGGAAAGCCTACCACATCCGGGATGTGGGAATGCTCTTGGACAGGAGATGCTGTGTGACTTTTTTTCTGACGGTGATGATGAGGCAGTTTTTTTTCTTACCAAATTATTTAAACACACTTTTGGACTAGGAGTGCCTTGTAGCATTGGCTTATGACATTCAGTTTCTTTTTTTTTTTTTAAAGATTTTTTGATGTGGACTATGTTTTTGAGTCTTTATTGAATTCGTTACAACATTGCTTCTGCTTTATGTTTTGGTTTTCTAGCCCCGAGGCACGTGGGATTTTTAACTCCCCAGTCAGGGATTGAACTCACACCCCCTGCATTGGAGGGCAAAGTCTTAACCACTAGACCGCCAGGGAAGTACTGGCATTCATTCAGTTTCACACAGTCAGTTTGCTTTGCCCCTGCTGAGACTCTGTGCTCCATCGTTCATGGTGGATGGAGGGCTGGGTCCACAGCAGGAGGGCTGGGGCCTAAAGGACCTCACCTGGCTCACCGGAAGACCCCCACCTTCCCAAGCCTCATTATGTCCTTGCCTAAAACAGGCTCTGGGAAATCGAGAAACCTCTTATTAACCTGGGAAGATGAGAGCACAGAGATTGAGAGTGGGGAAGGGACCAGAGGCGGGCTTCTTGCTGGCAAAGCACCTGGAGAGTGGGCTCAAGGCGGCTTCCGGTCCCTGGGAAGGGCCTGGGCGGCCAGGATGCTAATGCTTGGCAGCAAGGACCCCTTTCACAGGGACGTCTGGCCACTCACTCCCGGGGATGTCACCCGAGTGGCCGGCATCCCACCCTGTGGGACAGCAGTACAGGAGCAGGGGTCCAGAGCCTGGGGCCAGGTCTTCAGAGGAACTGGGGGCCGCTGGCCTGGCCCAGCCAGAGGGCAGGGGGCAGGGGGCAGGGGGCAGGGGGCAGGGTGGCGGGGCAGCACACCCAGGCCCCGGTAGATGGCCTCATTGCCAACTAGAGTCAACCTCAGAACCACAGTCAGCTTGGCAGCTTCCTGCTGGGTGCGGTCCTTCCAGCAGAGCAGGCGGTGGTCCTGACTGTGGGCTGTGGGCCCGGGAGAGCCAGCCATTGAGGAATAAAGCCTTCACTGGCCCGCTGCCAAGTCGCATTTGGGGCGCGGGAGGGGGAGGGTTGGCAGCCGACCTTCAGCTGTCCCCCTGGTGAGACGCAAAGATGGAGGAAAAGCCTGATGGAGCAAGTCCGAGTCCAGGATGGGTGCCCCGGGATGGCAGCTCCACTCTGCACCGCAGCACGCCCATTGCAGCTCCCTCCAGCGCTTCTTGGGTCCTGGCCCCGCTCAGAGCCGGAAAGGAACCAGGCTGAAGGTCGGCTGGATCACAGCGGGTGGGGGTGGGGTGGGGGGACCCTGGGAATTCCTGGGAGACTGGCTCTGCGGAAGCCTGAGTGTGGCTCTTCCCCCTGATGGCTGTCCCTGCCAGGGCTCACTCTCTATTTCTGATTTTCCCTCCAAAGGCGGTACAGCCGACCTGGAGAGCTGACGCTCTGTCAGAACAGAGGACCCCCCACCCCCCGCCAGCCCTGCCCATCCCTCTCCCCAGCCGCATCCCTGCGCATCCCTGCAGAGCCCCTACGTGCGGAGAATGGGGCTTCCCTGCTCTTCCGGCCTGAGCAGTGCTCCCTGCAGCCGGGGCTCAGGCACACCCCCCCAAACCAGGGCCAGGCGTGGGTGCGCTCTGGGATGGGGGGCACCGTGTCGGGAAGGACAAAAGGGCAGCTTCTGCAGGCAGGACCTTTCCTCCCGGATGCCAGCTTATCCTCAGGGTTCTCCCTGTGAACAGGGGATGGGGTGTCTGTCAGGATCTTCCCGTGGGCCACACACTGGGCGTCTCCTTCCTGCTGGGCCACCGAGCAAGGTAGGCCCACAAGGAGCTGAGACGGCGAGGCGAGGCGAGGTGGGAGGCTCTCCGTGGTCCCCTCCAGCACCGCTCTGCCTGGAAGGGCAGGGACAGGGCAGGGTGCTGAGGGGTCGGAGAGCTCGGGCACAGGGCGGCGGGGTCTTCACTGTGCTGGGGACTGTCTCGAGTCCTCGAGACCCTGGATCTTCTCCTCAGAGGCCTTGTCGGGGAGCAGCACCTCTACGGTGTAGCTGATCTTCTTGGCATGTATCAAGCTGTAGGTGTTGTCGAAGCGCAGGACGTCTGCAAAGACAGAGGAGGAAGCAGGCAAAGCGAGCCCGGCATACCTGCCCACCCAGGTGCCCTTGGGCAGGGGGTCTCCTTAGCTGATGCTTGTGCTAACCACAGGAGTCATAGTAACCACCAGCATGCATCAGCCCATCTATGGGCATCACATCAGTTGCTCACAGCTCCCTGAATCCTCAAAGTGGCCCCAGGGAAAGTATGATCATACCCATGTTATGGATAAGGATATAGGCTTACGGAGGTTGGTAAGACCTTCTGATGATTCCAGAGCAAGTGAGGGGAGGGACTGGGATTCCCTTATCCTGATGTTCCAACCCAGAGGGGATCCCTACTTTCCCCATCTCATGTCTTTAAAAAAATTATTATTTTTTAAAAATATTTTTATTTTACTTATTTGGCTGCACCAGGTCTTAGCAGTGGCATGAGAAGACTTTTCTGTGGCATGCAGTATCTAGTTCCCCGGCCAGGGATCGAACCCAGGTCTCCTGCACTGGGAATGCAGAGTCTCAGCCACTGGACCACCTGGGAGGTCCCTAAAATTTTTATTATCTTAAAAATAAACTTCTGGGTCATGCTGTGAGCATGTGGGATTCTAGTTTGCCAACCAGGTGGACAATGAGATCCAATTCCCGGGCTGTGTGCTCAGATAGGCATGTGACCCTCCCATACCCGGGCATCGTTGGGAGGGGCCCAGAGCCCAGCAGGTGGTGGGTTGTGACCCCTGCATTGGGAGTGCAGAGTCCTAGCCACTGGACCACCAGGAAGTCCCTCTTACGTCTCTTTTAGAGGCATTTTGTTCACTGCCAAGGTCCAGCATGAATCTGGATCTGATGAGTCATCAGGTTTCTCGGTATGCACCCTTCTAATCCCTGCTTTGCCACAAAAGTGAACTAGATGTGACCGGCTCAGACACTCAGTCATGTCCGACTCTTTGTGACTCCATGGACCGTAGACCGCCAGGCTCCTCTGTCCATGGGCTCTTCCAGGCAAGAAAACTGAAGTAGGTTCCATTTCCTCCTCCAAGGGATCTTCCTGACCCACGGATTAAATCCATCTCATGCCTCCTACATTGGCAGGCGGATTCTTTACCACTAGCGCCACCTGGGAAGCCCTGGTTGAACTCATTCCTCTTCTCCAGGGAACATCAACCTTGGGTCTCCTTCCCCTAGTGCTGTTCCCCGCAGAGGTGGGAGGTCAGCGATGGCCCTGGGCAACACCGCTTCTGCCAAAACAGACCAGCCCGAGAGGCCTGGGGATAGGGGACAAACACCTGGAAGGGTCATCTCCTCGGGTGGTCCACGCGGGTGGGCAGGCTGGGAGCCCTGACGCCGAGCTCGTGGCTGTTTTCCAGCTGTCTCTCATTTAGCCTGTAGAGTGTGCTGAGGGGTCTTCCCAGGAGCTGAGTCCACAGGGCTTCGAACCCTGCACTCCACCACGCCTCTCCGTCCCTGCACCCATGCCTGGGGGCCTCTCCTCAGATCCAACACCTGAAGCTGATGCCCCTGGCTTCGGGGGTATCCAGGAGCTTGCACAGACCCCCACACCCACCCCGAGAGCTGGAAATAGGAGCAAACAGGAGCCAGACGGGCAAGAGGTCAGCTCATTTACTCCGCCATGAGGAGGAAAGCGACCCCAGTGAACCCTGTAGCTCTTACAGACGCCGGCTTCCGTGCAGGTGAGGCTCCCATCCTCGGGCACCATGTGGGCATTGTAGCGCTGGCTGGCCAGCACCTCCGTCATCTCCCCGGCCCGCTGCCGCTCCCCCATCTTGGTCTTCAGGAAAACCCCGAAGCCGATGTCCCCTCCGTCCGATGCGTACTGCCACCTGCAGGGGACAGGGCCCCACTGACCACCCCCTGCCTGGGCTCCGGGCCCCTCCCGACCGCGCCCAGGTGTGTGTGTGGGGGGGCGCCGTGCCTACCTGAGCACACAGCCCGGGAACAGGACCTCGCTGTCCACCTGCAGGGAGGAGCCTCGGCCCACGGTCGCCTGGTGGTCGTACTTCACCCTCACGTGGTTGTGCAGGTAGTAATGCTGGGGCACGTCGCCCCCGTAGTTGATCTGTGGGCGGGAGTGGTGAGCGGGCACCGCCCCCCGGCACCCCCCTCCCTCCCCGTCCTCCGGGCACCAGACCTTGGTCAGGCACTTGGGGTTGCCATCAGGGTCGGTCATGGTCCCCCCGAACTCCACAGGCAGCTGGTCGGGGCTGATGAACTTAGGCAGCTCTTGCTTCCAGTTGCCTGTGGGGACAAAAAGTGGGGCGCCATGGAGGGTCGGGGGCTCAAGAGAGGGCAGTGGGGCCAAGCCCAGGGAGAGACCTGATGTGTCCTATGCTGGCTCTCCTGGGCACCAACTCCTGAGAACACCCAGGCGCTCTGCATGGCCACCCAGGCCATCATCTAGGTCCTGGAGCCTCGAATGAGTGTGCAAAGGTCACTGAGGGCTGAGGCCAAGGTCAGGGCCTGAGTAAAGAGGAGGAGCTACGGAGGAACGGAGCCTCTGGCATCAGCCTCTGCTTCCAAGCAGATGCGAAAGTGGCACAGCTGGGAGGCCGCATCACTCACCTCCCATAATCACTATCTTCCTTCGGGTCTCCTCACCCATGAATGACTTGACCAAGTTGAAGGCCACGGGGAACAGCTTGGGGGCTGGAACACACAAACTCCCTTGAGAAGCTGGACGGGAGAGGACCTGGATACACAGGGTCACAGCCAAGGGCATGGGTGGGACAGAGGCTGGACAGACCTAGAAGCTGCCATTTCCTGCTGTGAGACCTTTAGCTACTCACCCTCTCTGAGGCTAAGCACTCCTAACTGAAAAGTGGAGATGGAATGATACAATAAATGGCTGCCTCTTCTTCCCCTGTTGTAGGGCATCAGCAGTGTTGATCCCCCAGGGGTGCCTCTTCCTTTCCACACTCACGGTTTGCCCACGTTGCCTTGGCGCCCTCTTGGGTGCAAGGAGGAGGCAAGTGCATCCGACCTCATGTTCCACCAGGATGACTCAAGCTTACTGGGTGCTTTCTATGGACCAGGCTCTCAACTATCTCATGTAACCTCACAGCTACCTTATAGGGAAGGTGCCATTGTATCCCCATTTCACAGAATGGGAAAACTGAGGCTCAATGAGGTGACCTTGATTTGCTCCACAGACTTTATGGTAAGCCAGATCATCTGACCCTAGAACACATGCAGTGAGCCCTTTGTCATACAGCTGTTGCAGGCACGGACTGTTTCCACTCCATGGATTCTCAGTCCATGGACTCTCTGATGCCAGTCCCCATTCAGGTCGGTAAAGAAAATAACAGTAAACATTTAGAGACATGGCGTATTTGACATTGCTGCAGCACACGAGAGCGTGATTTGCATATTCCAAAAGAATCAGCAAAGGACTGAGCTGAACAAACAAAGACCCATTCTCCACCCAGGACGGTTTGACAGTCCCTGGTCTAGGTGGCTTCCCCGCTGTCCCCCTCTCCCATTCCTCACCCTTCCCACCCCAGGAGGTCATCCCCATTGTGGACTCACCTCGAACAACAATTAAATTCTTCATCGTCTCCGGATAATTTGCTTCCAGAATGGCAAAAAACTGTTGGGTCAAGATGAGTCTGAGCGAAGCCAGCTTCCAACACCTCCAGCCCCTGGATTTTCTGCGGCCCCTGATGCCGCTGAGACACGAGCCCCCCAGAGCCCCTCTCCCCCACCCCAGCAGCCCATCCCATCTTCCCCGGGAGCATGGCCATCATCCTCAGTGGAGCTCTTGTTCAGACTCTTTCTCCCTGGAGGGTGGATGCCCAGGTCAGCTTCACTGGCTGCTGTCTGGGGGCCCTGGGAAGTGACCCCTCGTCCATGGACCAGAAGCTGGTGCAGGCAGTGTGGCTCCGACCTCACCTGCTGGTAAACCTCCACTGCTGGCTTCCACAGGTGTCTCAGGCTCAGCCCTTCCATGTCAAACACCATCACGGCCGTGTCGACCCTCCTGCCCAGCTACACGGGACAGGGCGGGTACTCGGATCAGATGACGGCTCCAGCCAGGAGGACCCTCCCTCCACCGTCCTGCCCCCTCCCCCCAGCTGCCCACAGCATTTTCCAAACAGACAGAACCCATCCAGGGTCTAAGCAGGTGCCACCTCTGAGCCTTAGCGTGGTGGCCCCCACACACTGCTCAACATTGTAGCCTGGAATGAGTTAACTGTGATTAAAGACATCAATTGTTCACAGGTCATCTTCACATACAGTAGTATACTTGTCAGCCAGTGATGCAGCCCCACAGGTGAGTCCAAGCCAGAACTGCTGCTGGGGGGCTGTGTGGCTTTGAAAGTGTTAGTTGCTCAGTCGTGTCCGACTCTGAGTCCAGGGACTGCAGCCCACCAATCTTCTCTGTCCATGGGATTCTCCAGTCAGGAATATTGGAGTGGGTTGCCATTCCCTCCTCCAGGGGGTCTTCCCAACCCAGGGATCAAACCTGGGTCTCCCTGCATTGCAGGCAGATTCTTAACCATCTGAGTCACCAGGCCTTGGGTGGATTTTTAATCCCTCTGTGCCTTACTTTTTTCCTCTGTAAGATGGGGATAATTCCAGGCCCTGACAGATCTGCTGTGAGGATTCAACAAAGCCAGTGTCTGGCACTTGGCCAGTGCCTGTTAAATCTTAACAGATACCAGTGTCATCACCTTAACTCCTGGCTCTGATTGGGAACATCTGTGAAGTGGAAGACACTGCCTTGAGCCTATAAGTGAGCCATCTTACAAGAGAACACACATGTGTTTTGAACACACATGTGTTCAAACCAGGCACGACACACAGCATTAGGTAATTCTCTCCTGCCTGCCACAAATCTCGGTGGGGGGGTCTATTTTGCATTCTGCTCTGTGCCAGACGCTGGGGACACAGGCCCTGTCCTCGAGTGGAGTCCCATGAGGACACATATATATTAGCCATAATATCCCACAGTGCCATAACAGCTTTAGACACTTAAGACTCACAAAACCAACCCAGCCACACTCGGCATTATATTCCCTCTGAAGGCTAGTGACCAGGAAACGCAGAGTCAGGGGCCAGGAGAAGACCTGCAAAGGTGGGTGTGGTTCTTCTTGGCTTAGAAGCCCCGTGCCCCACATTTTTTGGTGGTAACTCCCTAGGGGCACCAGGGATGTGCCCAGGTTCAAGGGTCACCAGCTTTGGGGGATGTCCAAAGCAATGGCTCCCCCATCAGGTTTCATAGTTACACAATCAACGGACATCCTTTCTGTAAGCAAAGCTGACCACCCACTGTTCCCAGGGATCCGGGGGAACAGTGCGAGAGGATTCGTAGCACCAAGGTCAGTATCTCACCCAAGGTCAGAGGGGAAGGGCTTTGGCCACCCTTGGTGCACACCAGCAGAGAATGGCACGCACGTGTTAGACGCCCGTGCAAGGGCGACTGCAGGAGAAGCAGAGCCCAGTGGTGCTGAAGACTAGGGAGGAGCGGGTGCCTCCCAAGTGGGTCCTGGTACCACCCTTTAGAGACTGGACCCACCATGTGCCCTCTACCCGCTCGCATACCTTCTGACTCTGCTGTTCACACTTGTGCAAAAGCAACTCGCAGACTCTGATGCGCTTCCGGATCAGCTCCTGCTTGGAGGCTGACAGGAGGAGGCCCCTGGGGTCCATGGTCCCGATGATGTCGAACCACACGGGGCAGCCCTCATAGTCGTAGCCGCACAAGCCACCGGCATCGTACCGCTGGACCACCTGGACGTGGGGTGAGGGCCCGGCTCGAAGCAGCCCACCAGGCTGGTTCCCCGCTCGCTCGGGCAGCTGGACGTGGCGGGTGAGTTGAGGGGGCAGCAGTGGCCCGGGGGACCCCGCGTGGGCTCACCTCTGAGGGCTTCCACTCAAGGATGTTGTCCAGGTCCTGCTGCTTGCGGAACTCCACGTGCTGCGGAGGCACACCTGGGCTTGAGGACCGCCTGCCCCGGAGGCCACAGGCCACGCCCCTCCGCCCACGGACACCAGGATCCTGCCAGAGCCACCCCAGGGGCCACCAGCAGGGCTGCGGGTGGGGATGCCAGGACGGGGGCTGTGGGGGACCCGGGTCTGAGGCAGAAAGGGATGGAGGGGGAAGGAAGAAGCACAGAACAGGACTGGGCGAGAGGCCCTGGCCGTTGTCGATAATCCTTGGGGATAATTCCTGGTGTGCAAGGTGCAGGAGACAGGATGCTCGTGAGCACAGTGTCTCACCTTACGGAGCATGTCCTCTGATTTCTGCAGGTCAAAGTTCCGGGCTGCAAGGAGAAGGCGGTGTGGTAAGAGGAGGCTGGAGGCAGAATGCAGCATAAGCAATTCTCTGACAGCTCATAAAGAGACAAGCTCCGGGGGCGAGGAGGGTACGCTTTCCTGATGCTCCAGGAATGCACTGTGGGGCCTGGAAACTTTTTTTTTTTAAAAGCAAGGATCTTTAATCCTTTCGAAGACTGTGGAAGGCTCCTGATTTCATTTTCCAGGGCTTAAAAAAAAAAAAAAACTTTATTGAAATATAGTTGATTTGTAATGTTGTATTAATTCCTGCTCTACAGCAAAGTGATCCAGTTATACATACATATATATTCTTTTTCATATTCTTTTCCATTATGGTTTATTACAGGATACTGAATATAGTTCCCTGTGCTATACAGTACCCAGGCCTTTATTTTTAAGATATTTATTTATTTGGCTGTGCTGGGGCTTAGTAGCAGTACACAGGCTTTTCAGTCTTTGTTGCAGCACGTGGGATATTTAGTTGTGGCATGCGAACTCTTAGTTGAGGCATGTAGGATCTAGTTCCCTGATCAGGGATCGAACCAGGGTCTCCTGCATTAAGAAAGAGCTCAGAGACTCAGCCACTGAACCACCAGAGAAATTCCTCCAGGCCTTTTAAACTTGTTCACTCTATCGCTTCTCGGCCTTTTGGCTAAGATCATGTGTAAACTTGTTCATTCTAGAGCTGATCTAGCCTGCAGTATTTAACATCCCCCAGGGAGCAGAGATGCTCCTGGTATTAGGAGTGGTAAGAGCATGGGCTTTGGAGTCAGATTTGGGCTTAAACTCCAGTTTTGTCCTTTTATTTGCTGTGCTACCATGAGTAAGTCACTTCCATTCTCTGAGCCTTAGTTTATCTGGGACTATCATTTTAAGAGTTATTCAAAGGATGTCATGAAGGACTTTTGTCTTATAAATAAAATTTGAACCTTTTCTGATGCCCTTTTCTGCACTGAGATAGCCATACAACTTCTTATCCTTAACTCCATTAATGTGTTTGTTGACACTGATAGGTTCTCCTTTCTTTTCTTTTTTTTGGCTGCGTGACTTGTGGGATCGTCCTGATTAGGGACCGTGGAATCTCTAAGTCTAAACCACTGGACCACCAGGGAATTCCCTGGGTTTTCTGATGTTGAACTCTTCTTCAAGATAAACTCTCCTTGATACTGTTGCATAATTTTAATACCTTCTTGGATTCTGTTATGTAATATTTTATTTAGACTTCTTTACATCTACATTAGTAAGTAAAATGAGCCTAGAATTTCCTTTTATTGTCCTTAGCTAGCTTGGGAATCAAACGTACCCAAGCCTCATAAAATAAATCTCACTCTTTCATATATTTGAAAACAACTCAAACAATTTGTATACTGAGAAATTAGCTGGTCTTAAAAGTGGAGAAATTCACCTGCAAAGCCATTTGTGGTCTGAGTTTGGAGGGGAGGGGACGTTTTTATTAACATTTAAATGTCTTACATGTTTACTGATCTACTGAGGGCTTTCTTTTTCTTCTTCCAGGCATGTATCCATTTCATTTAGATTTTCAAATTTGTTAGTGCATAATCATACCCGATATTCTTTTATTGGCTTAAAAAAATATTTCTGTGAGATGTCTCTAGGAGATTTTTCTACTGAGAACCTGAGGATGGCTTCTGGTCCTATAGACAGTGGTTTGAACACTGCTGCTGGGTCCTCAAAACTTTTTTACCATACATCAGGCTGGGAGTACGGGGTAGGCATCCCAGAGGGACAGAAGGACCTAGATGAGGGATGGGGAGAAAGGAAAACAAAGGAATCGGCCTGAGAGGGTCAGGAAGGCTCCTCTGCATCCAGCTGAGCTCAGCCCTGGCCCTTGGTCCTGTCTGGAGCCTGTGATGCTTGGAGGAGAGCTGAGCTGAAGGGGGCAGAGCCGCATCAGCAGATCTGCATGGTGAAGGGGAGGCGCCGGATGCCTGGCACCCTCTTCCTGTCTTAGGTCCTTTTTCTTCCCCTGACCCAGCCGCCTACAGTGCATACATTTCACTCTTTTATCTAAGACTCAAGAAGTACCTGAAAAGCTGATCTTTAAACCCAAAAAGATTCAAAGGAGGAGGGGAGAGGTCTGAGGCTATATCAGGTGGCTTTAAGAAATCTACCGTCCCCAGAATGGTCCAGATGAACCTATTGGTGGAGTAGGAATAGCAGTGTAGAGAATGGATGTGTGGACACAGGGGAGGGATGAACTGAGAGGGCAGCACTGGCATATAGACACTGTGAACAGACAGCGAGTGGGGTGCTCGGTGCCCTGTGATGACCTAGAGGGGTGGCATGGGGGTGGGGGGAGGGAAGGTCAGGAGGGAGGGGATGCATGTAACACAGAAACGATGCACTTTGTTGTACAGCAGAAACTAACACAGCATTGTAAAGCAATTATACTCCAAGTTAAAAAAAAAAAGAAAACTACTGTTCCAAGTCCTTTTTTAGCTTGGGTGGGGGAAAAGACATTAAAATGACATTAAAAATGAAATAGAAACTGCCTCAGCCAAGAGGGCCTAAAGAGACAAGACAAGAAAATGGAATGTGGTGTCCTGGATGGGATCCCAGAATGGAAAAAAAACTAAGCAAATCTAAATAAAACACAGATTTTAATTACTAATCACATAGCAATAATGGTCCATTAATTGTCACAAACAAACATATGAAAGTAAAATGTTAATATGCAGCATCTATGGGAACTTTCTGTACTATCTTCACAATTTTTCTGTAAATCTTTTTAGAATGGTTCTAAAAATAAAGTTTGTAAAAAACCCAATAATTTAAAAAAAACACAGTCAAATGAAATAGAACAGAAGGGAGGCCTTCCTCTGCGCAGGCTCTGTGTATGCCCATGACCTCAGGTCTGACTCACAGCATCTTGAAGGTAGAGACCAGTATTACACAGACCAGGAAAGTGAGGCAACTTGTATGGGCACCCTGCTAGCAATCACTGTTCTGTCTGATTCCAGCCTGGCTTCTGACTTCTCTCTTGGCTCAAGCTCAAAAGCCATTCCATGGGGTATGCTGAGATGACATGAATTTTTCCCCCTAAGTTCTAGGGTGGTTTCTGTCATTCTAACTATTCTGCACTACTGCGGCAATTCCTAGAGGAAATTCCTCCCCGCCTTTAATTACACCCACTCTCTGAATGTTCATTGGGCACGTGGTGTCAGATCCCTAAGAGAACGACACTTGAAGGCCTGTCTTCAAGAAACTGGAGACAGACCCAAGGGCAAGGCCTGAAGACAGTTCAGTGGTATTTACTCAAGACCTGGCCAGGCCTGTCATCCTGAGAACTTCCCAGGTGTTAACCTCTAACCTCACCTCACCCTGTTGCCCACCCATGCCAGGCACTACACCCTCTCATTTAATTCATAACAACCCCTGGGGAGGTAGCCTCACGCCCACTTTATGGATGAAGAAACTGAGGCTCCGTAGGATTTTTGTGCTGTGCCGATTTGGATGGGAACTGAGATTCCAGTCCACTCTTCAGCGCTGTCCCCCAGAGTCTCCCACCCCACCCCCCGCCCCGCTGTCAGCCTCCACTGACCGCAGCTGGCCTCACCTCGGAGCCAGCGCAGGAGGAAGTGGTCATCAGCCTTGGGCAGCGTGGGGAGCAGGTCCTGAAGGTTGTCCCGGAACTGAGGGAGGGGATGTAATGGTCAGCGGCACTCCCACAATCCCAACCCTGTCCCAGACCTTCCCAGCCTCACTCTGCTGGTCAGTCCTGCCCAGGGACCCTGCAGAGTTAGCAGCACACGCCCAGCTTGCAACCTGGGAGTGGGCCACCCTGCCTCAGCCCACCGTGGCAGGGAGAGTTGGATCCTCAAACCTGAGGGGTTCTTTGCCCCACAAGACCCTTGTGCTGGAGGTTCGAGGGAGGGTTGTGCCACCTCTGTGTTTACAAACATCCCCGGTGAATCTGAGGCAGGCCCACCAGAACATTCTGGAGATGTTGCCTGGATATTGCATCATGAGGGTCTGGACTTGGAAGCAAGTAGCTTAACCTCTCTGAGCCTCAGTTTCTCATCTGTGAAGTGGGGATAATGATACATATGTGCCAGTCAAAGGAGTTTGTGAAGATAAAGCCTTTAGCTTCAGGCCTGGCTTGTGGCAGGTGCCAGATACACGTGAGGCTCACAAACTAGGATCCTCAAAAGAAACCCTTCTCCAGAGTCTGAAACTGCCCTTTCACAGGCTTCAGGTGGGAGCCATGCTTGTGACTGGAGAAGGAAATGGCAACCCACCCCAGTATTCTTGCCTGGAGAATCCCATGGACAGAGGAGCCTGGTGGGTTACAGTCCATAGGGTGGCAAAGAGTCAGGCATGACTGATCGACTGAACAACAATGGTTGTGATACCCTCATGCCCCCCGCCCTGTCACCCCGAATTCACAGTTTCTAGTCTCTGGCCATTTGCAACCCGATTGTTTTTTTGGCCATGCCACAGGGATGTGGGATCTTAGTTCCCTGACCGGGGATTGAACCCAGGCCACAATATGAGTCCTACCACTGGATTGCCAAGGAATTCTGGCAAACAGAATTAATGCTGTAGCACCTAAGCCCGCCTCATGGTTGAGACACTACCAGGTGAGTCCCAGACTTGCCTGGTGGCTCAGACGGTAAAAGTGTCTGCCTACAATGCGGGAGACCGGGGTTGGGATGATGTCTTGGAAAAGGAAATGGCAACCCACTCCAGCATTCTTGCCTGGAAAATCCCATGGACGGAGGAGCCTGGGAGGCTATAGTCAGTCCCTGGGGTCGCAAAGAGTCGGAGGCGACTGAGCGACTTCACTTTCACTTTCAGTTTCAGGTGAGTCCCATAGGACTGTCTCGATAGCACCAATCCCCTCCCCCCACCATTTCCCTTTAATGAAAACATTAACAATAGGGAGAAGGCCTGGGGCCTGCGGATTCAGAAAGCCACAGAGAGAAACCAAAGGTTTCAATCTGGGCAGGAGACCTGGGCGGCTGTCTGCCCAAGGCTGCCTCAGTGCAAAAGGCAGGGCCATCCTCCTCCACCTTCCTCAAGGGACAGGGCTCGGTGGCCGGGCGCCGGCAGGGCTGGGCTGAGTCGCAGAGAGGCCCAGAGATGGGGGCTCCTGGCCCAGGTGGGTGCCCAGCTCCCTGGACAACCTGTGCGCTGGAGCCACCGGCTGGACGCGCGCTCTCCAGGCTCCCCTTTCGCGGCAGTGCCCCTCCCCAAGCCACCCCGACGCCCTCGAAGCTCCTCACCCGGGTCAGAGCCTCCTGCTGCTGGGGGCTCAGGTCCCCAACTCGGCCGCTCATGGTGCCCTGAGCCCCAGTGTCCAGGACTAGTCTGCCCGCCCCGCCGCCTGGCCTGTTTTTGCCGGGCGCGTCGGATGTNGTCTGCCCGCCCCGCCGCCTGGCCTGTTTTTGCCGGGCGCGTCGGATGTTGGTCCCGCCCCCACGCCCTGGAGAGCACCCCTCCTTCCCCGCCCCGTCCCGCCAGCTTTGCGCCCGGCTCAGGGACTTTTCCCACAGTCGCTAAGGCACACCCTACCCGGGGCAGGGAGGTGACCTGACCCAGAGGCATCCCAGAGCACAGACTCCAGGCGGGGGTCGGGGAATGGTCTTGACCACAGGCTGGGCACCTGCCCGTGCTCCCTAGCCGGGATGCAGAATGGTTTCAGCCTTCAAGATAGCCTGGAGGAGGGACTTCCCTGGCGGTCCAGTGGTTAAGACTTCCCTCTGCTGAAGGTTCCATCCCTGGTTGGGGAACTAGGATCCCACATGCCCTGAGGCTTGGCCAAAAAAAAAACACAACATAGTCTGAAGGATTACATAAGGCAACCCAGGATGTGTTCCTAATCATAGTTATTACTGTTGAGACTGTCACCAGAGCGATGGCCTGCTGGGGTAGAGAGCTAAAAATGCACCCTCCGTCCCCGGGGTGAGTTCCTCAGGCAAAGGCTGCGAGTGGGAGGTGGCAGTGGACAGGTGGCAGTCCCAGGCGGGTGGCGGAGGGGTTGGGAAGTCCAAGGCGCTGGGCAGCTGACGCAGGTGTCCAGGGCAGCGTCCGAGAGCCAGGCAGAGGTCACCAAGGACGGTGAGAAAACCCAGGTTGCCTGGGCAGGAATTTTCGAGGGAGAGGAGCAGGTGGGAGGTGAAGGTGAAGAGGGTGGTTAGTCTGGTCACTGGAACCTTTTCCCTCTGTCCTCACTTGGGGTCAAACCACGTTCTGTGCTTCGCTAGCCAAGCTGGTGGCCACCAGCCATGTGTGGTTCAGCAGTGGGAACGTGGCTTGTCACTAGTGCAAATGGAGATGAGCTGTAACTATGAAATGCACACCAGATTTTGAAGACAGCAGTCCCCAAAATGAAATGAAATAGTTCATTCATTAATTGTTGTACAGATTACATGTTGAAATGATATTTTTTGATATATTGGGTTAAAATATTGTTAACATTAATTGCACCATATTTTTCACTTTTTAATAATCTATAATTTTTTATTTTTTTATTTTATTTTTTTGTTTTTTTAAAATAATCTATAATTTTTTAAATTAGTAAACTTATTTTTAAGGGCAGTTTTGGATTCACAGCAAAATTGAGCAGAAAGTAGTATAGAGAGCTCTCATATACCCGCTGTCCCCTCACCCCACAGCCTCCCAACTGTGGACACCCCCCACCAGATGGGACATTTATTACAATCAATGAATCTACAACGTTGTCACCCATAGTGTACATTAGGGTTCACTCTTGGTGTTGTACATGCTATGGGTTGGTCAAATGTATAATGACATAGTCACCATTGTCGTATCATAGAGAGTAAGTTCACAAGCTCACTACCCTAAAAGTCCTCTGGGCTCTCTACCTTTTCTGTTTTTACTTTTTAAGAATGTGATGACCAGAAAATTTAAGATTACATGTGTGGCTCACATTTGTGGTTTGCATTATATTTCATTTTTGCAGTACTGTCCTGGAGGGATTTTAAATCTTAAGGGAAAAAAATGAAAGAAATTACCAAAGGCTAAAAGAAACTAAAAGTGATGGTTACCACGTTTCTAGAAGGGGATGATCTGCACTTAAAAGCAATGACAGAAATCGCAAAGGGCAATCAATTGGTTTGGCTATATAAACATACAAAAATCCGTGAAACAAGAAATGGAATTAAGGCATTAAGTCAATATTGGCTAATGTGAATTTGGGAAAAAATAAAATGGGACAGAAATTGATATCCTTATAAAGCAGGGGTCCCCAACCTCTGGGATCTAATACCTGACGATCTGAGGTAAAACTGATGTAATAATAGTAGAAATCAAGTGCACAATAAATGTAATGTGCTTGAATCATCCTGAAACCAACCCCCACGCCCTTGGGGGTCGTGGAAAAACTGTCTTCCACGAAACTGGTCCCTGGTTCCAAAAAAGGTTGGGAAACGCCATTCTAAAGAAGGCATACAAATTGATAAGAATGGTCAAAGGATGCAAGATACCAGTTATCAGAAGAGAGAATGTACAGAGGCAATAATCAAGTGGTTAATACTTAACCTCCAGGTCACCAAAGGAATATGTATACAAGCAAAGACATGCTTTTTCCTCCGATAAATCGGCAAGAAAACAAAATAAACACACACAAATACACATACACAAAATCGTTTTAAAAACGATAATAAATTTCGTTATAAGTTGGTGAAACGGAGACATTCATATGTTTCTGGCAGGACTGCAAATCCATTTCAGCTCTTCTAAAAACTACTCACAATACCTGTTACTACAATCCTTCAATCGTTTACCAGGTTACTCAATAATAATCCTGACTAACAAAATATTTCCAGCTTAAAGTTGTTTGTGGTTAATAGGAATATTGGAAACAACTTTTCAGAAAACTGCTGTGCTTAATATGATGGGTGAAGACTTTATAACAACATGGAGAAGATACCATGAAACAATTTGGAAAAGGCAGGACCATATGACGTATGCCATGTGCTGTGTGTGCCCGGTGCTCGGGTGCTCGGTCGTGATGCCCACAAGACGCCTCTGTCCCGGGGAGTTTCCAGGCAAGAATACTGGAGTGGGTTGCCATCTCCTCCTCCAGGGCATCTTCCCAGCCCAGGAATTGAACCTGCGTCTCCTCCATTGCAGCGGATCTTTTACCACTGTGCCACTTGGGAAGCCCTACGCCCTATGCTTCCAGAATGTAAAACAAAATCCTCTAAATCAAAGAAAAGGCAGACAAGAAAAGAGATTCGTCCCCAACTTTTCTCACTCCTTGGGAAGTCATATTTTTTAAATGCCACAGGTAACCAGTCACCTCTAAAGAGAAGTCTTTATTTAACTAACACTTTCCTAGTGTTTTCTATGGGCCAGGCCCTGTTCTAAGGGCTTTGTAAATATTAGTTCAGGCTCTTTAATGGGTAATGGGAGCCACACTGGTAATTTCAAACTCTTTAAAATTTAAAGACTTAAATTTTAAACACATTAAATTAAAATTTAGACACATGAAAATTTTAATTGTAATAATATAGTTTATTTAACATAATGCCTCTGAAGTATTATAATTTTGGTGTATAATCAATATGATTAATAAATGAAATTATTTCATCAATAAGTCAATAGTGAGAGAAATCAAAGAAGAACTAAAGAGCTTCTTGATGAAAGTGAAAGAGGAGAGTGAAAAAGTTGGCTTAATGCTCAACATTCAGAAAACTAAGATCATGGCATTGGGTCTCATCACCTCACTTCATGGCAAATAGATGGGGAAACAAAGGAAACAGTGAGAGACTTTATTTTGAGGGGCTCCAAAGTCACGGCAGATGCTGACTGCAGCCACAAAATTAAAAGATGCTTGCTCCTTGGAAGAAAAACTATGACCAACCTAGATAGCATATTAAAAGGCAGAGACATTACTTTACCAACAAAAGTCCGTCTAGTCAAAGTTATGGCTTTTCCAGTAGTCATGTATGGATGTGAGAGTTGGACTATAAAGAAAGCTGAGTGCCAAAGAATTGATGTTTTGAACTTTGGCGTGTGGGCTCAGTCGTTGCTGTCCCCAGGCTCTAGAACACAGGCCTCGTCGCTCCGAGGCATATGGGATCTTCCTGGACGGGGGACCAAACCCATGTCTCCTGCATTGGCAGGCAGATTCTTTACCACTGAGCCACCAGGGAAGCAAGCCCCTGTCTGTTTTGGTTTGGTTTTATTGGCCACGTCCCCTGGTTTGCAGGGTCTTTGTCCCCCAGCCAGAGATTGAACCCGGGCCCGTGGCAGTGAAAGCGAGAAGTCCTAACCACTGGACTGCCAGGGAACTCCCCACTCGTGGTGTTATGGACTGTATTGTGTCTGCCCCCCAATTCATACATTGAGATCCTAATTCCCAGCATCTAAGAACGTGGCCTATTTGGAAACAGGGTCCTTACAGATGTAATTAGTTAAAATGAGGTCAGAGTGGAGTGGGGTGGGCCCCTGATCCAATATGACTAATGTGCTTATGAAAAGGGGAAATTTGTATATACTCATGCCGACAGGGAGGAGGCCACGTGAAGATGAAGGTGGGGATCGGGGCAATGCTTCTATATATGAGCCGTAGAACACCAAAGATAGCCAGTAAACCACCAGAAGCTAGGGGAGGAGCAGAGAATAGATTCTTCCTCCCTGTCCTCAAAGGGAACCAAGCCTGCTGACCCCTTGATCTCAGCCTTCTATGATCTATGAGATAATAAATCTTGTTGCTGGAGCCACTCGGTTTGGGAACTTTGTTGAGGTAGTCAAGCAAATTAATACAGTGGCTGCCTGACTGGACAGTCCAGCATGGTCTCGTTTAATACTCCAGACACATTCTAAGGTTGGCACTATGATTATTCCCATCTATGGGTGAGAAAACTGAAGCCAACCCCCCACCCAGGTCTCACAGTTGGCAAGCAGCAAAGCCAGGATTGGAATCTAGACAGTTGGTGCAGGGCCAGGTGCTAAGCCTCTGTCTGCCGAGGATGGTTCCAGGTCACACGTTAAGTCCCGGTTGTTCCCATGCAGGTCAGGTGTCCTGCCCTGAGCCTGAGCCATCACTGGGCATGGAGGACTTCCATTCTACCCATCTGGGCGCCAGGCAGCCGGATCCGCTCTTATGTAATGTGCCCATCTCCTCCCACTTTCTGAAATGTGGCTCATTTCCTTGATGCTCCTGACCCACAGGCCGAGAAGCAGGGCTGTGATGACGGCTGTGTCACAGTATGTGACCCCGATCCCTCACCTCCCTGCCCACTCACGGTGGAATCTCTCCCTCCCACCTCCCAGCTGCTCCTAAAATTCCTGGCGTCTCTCAGTGGCCACAGGTGCCCTGCTTGCAGTCCTCATTCACATCTGTATCCTGCTAACGGAAG